GCAAATGTATTATCTTTTCAATTTACACACGGCATCTATTGCACGTCTGTCCGTCCTAGGAGAGGGATCCCTCCTCTGTTGCTCTCCCTGAGGTTTCTCCCATTTTTCCCTTTAAACTGTGGGTTTTCTCCGGAAGTTTTTCCTTGTACGATGTGAGGGTCTAAGGACAGAGGGTGTCGTATTGTCATACTGATATTCTGTACAAACTGTGAAGTCCACTGAGACAAATGTAACATTTGTGATATTGGGCTATATAAATAAACATTGATTGATTGATTGATTCATGCCCTCAAGAGGCATTTTGTTTAATTATTTAGCTTAATCTATTCTACACACTCTAGCCTTAACGAGCTTGCGCAATACACACTAATGTTAAAATCTGAAGAAGGCCTCTTTACCAAGGTCTGAACAATGTTTAATATCTCTAAAAGTATGAATCTGATTTAAAAGTTGTTTAATATGAATAATATCAGAAAGATGTGTAACATTTTAAAGTTGGAATGAGGTTTCTGAGTGAAAGTATGAAGGAACAGTTAACAGTTGAAGTGGCATGAAGATTTTTCAAGTCTGAAGAGTTTCTCCATTGACTTTCATGTTCAAAATGGGATGAATTATGGGATATATCTCGGGAATTATGAAAGTTATGAATGAGAAAAGTAATAGCAATCGATTCCCGACCGAGCTGAACGTTTTGATGTTTGAACTGAGTTTCTGCGATGTGGAATGTGGGAGCAGAAGAGCAGCAAAATAACCCGGCGGAATAATAATAAAGAATTTATCCGTAGAAGAACAAGTAGTTGGAATGCTGTATCAGCATTCCCACTAAATAACATCTGGATGAATGTGTGCACAGTTACTGTATGTTTATGCAAAATGTGTTTGTTGGTGATGTGATGTAGCTTGCAGAGACAAAAGGTACAGGGTGCTCTTGTGTAATCCGTTCCGCAACGCACCCTGATGAATACATATCAGCGATATCAAATGGAGGAGTCTACAAAAGAAATAAAGTGCATGAAATATTCAAGACTTTCTTTTTACATCAACCTTCTTCTCTCTTTGAGCTTCTTAACAACAGTCCACAACACAAATCTTCTTATCAGCAATTTGGTTCATACGACCTCTGTTTTTGCACATGCAAATCTCTCTGGCTGAGTGGTTCCACGCTGAAATTACGCACTTCTTTCAAGTTATATCTGGCCAGAAATTGTGACAAAGTATGCTTGTGTTTGGTTCTGATTTGAGGTAAAAACACAGATTGACATCTACAGTAGTGCTCAATATCTCCACAAGGTAAACCTTTTACTGGGGGAGGATGGGTATTTATTTTTGCATTGCAACATGTTAAACATTTCCATCAGCTTCAGCTGTCTGTTTTTTACTTACGTTTTTTAATCAGCTTGCTACTCAGCACACATCATTTATGTGAATTTTACCTTGATCCACCCTCACCATTGAGTACCTGGTTTTATCATGGCTTCCATTATGTATTGTATGTAATGTATTTTCCTTTGAATGTCTTCTAATGTGTCATTGGCTGAATGTGATATTATGTGTCAAAGAAAAAACTCTGCCTTTTGAATCCAACGAGAAAATGAAGTACTTTTTTATTTCAATTTTGTCTCTGTATTTTGTGCTTTTAACAAATATCAGCATAAAGTAAGATGACGGACATGGTAAACGTAACACCTCATAACTGCAGCATGATGAGAGCATTTAGCTCAGAGCCCCGCTATGTTCAACTTCATCAGATAGCTGAAAGCAATTTGCAGACTCTTATGAGTTGAGAGGCTATTTCCAGTTTTCACGGCAGCTGTGCTTGCCCTGTCTCTCAAGTAGGCTTCAATCAGCATTCACCTAGTCCTTCATTGATTCAATCTCCAGCTACATGAGATGACAAGATGATAGTAATCAACAATGTACGTAACAAAATGCCCCTGTACGCTCTGTTTTTATCACAAGGGCCAAATCAAATCCAAACCGAATACATCGCTCAGCACCACATCATTTGGTGGGCGTCAATGACACCATTTTGATCACATTTTATTGTACATACTGAAATAATCAAGGGTTGACCATTTGTGTTGAAAAGTAGTGGGGACATACTGTAAGGTTTTGGGTGAAAATATCATTTTTTTAAAGCAGTCTTTAAACATATATGTACAGTATGAGTATGGAATAGTTAAATATAACCCCTCTTAAAGGGGCTCAACATAGGCTTTTACAGGCTCGACATAAGAAATGATAAATATTGACCATAGAAATAACAGCTATCTGTATGCATCTTTCACAGAGAAAGGATGGAAAACTGTGTCAAGAAGAATCCATGTCAAGAATTTGTTAAAGTTACTGATTTAATATAGATTTCATTTCAGGTTTTTTTGTATTGTAAACACATTTTTTCAAAGTGTTCTTATTCGTTACGTCGACATGCATCAGTGCCGTGACCAACCTCCACTGAATATTAACTTTAAAAATGTAAGTTTGTCATAGTAAATACCGGAAGAGACAGGAGGGAGCAGTGTGCCATTACTAGCTATGTTATCTGCAGACATTAAGTGGAAGTCTGATTTACTGTAATGTATAGCTTTTAAATGTAAGCCTTACTTAGTTCCAATTATCAACATAAGTTCATAGGTCAAATCGATCACTTTCTTTAAACAATGCCCCCCACAGGCTCCACCCACAGCTCTTGTGATTGAGACTTGTCCGCTCTTCACAACAACCCTCCATCTCTGTTTGCTTATTTAAAAAAGACTTTAACCAGTGAAACCTCAAGCTTTCTGACAATAGTTTCAGGAGGAAGAGGATAATATAAAAAGACATTAGCTAATTTCATCCAAACCAACGTCCAAGACCAACGTCTGTTAATCAATATCTGTCCTTTGTAAATGTGCGCCTACCCATCCTGACCAAATCAAATCCCTGGCCATCATACCATTACAAAAGAGTGGTCTGATATCTGAGAAACCAGGGAGACCTCAGGCAGGACAACTTAGGATATTACTTCTTGGAGATGGGGGGGGTGAAAGGACGCAGAGGGAGAGGAAGGGCTCTGAAACAAGTACAAGAACACATTTGGGGCAGTTCTTGCAAACCAGGTGTACCGGCGCACAATCTGCAAATGAAGACAGATGGGATGATACATTGTTCTTAGGACAGGCTTCACTAATGGACAATCACATCAGCATCTCTCATCCCATTTTAAATACATTTTCGTGAGAGTCCAGGTCAGCTTCTCCAAGAACAAACCTGTCAGTGAGGTGCAGAGAGTCAAGGCATCAGCCCCATTTTTTATAAATGTACTTAATGCACCATGGCATGTGTACATTTTTACATATGGTTGAAAGTACTTTTATTCATTATTAATCTGCTGATTGTTTAATTGATTAATAGTTTCCTACATCCCAAGCAATCTGTTCAGATTGCATTCATTATTTTGTCCAATATATTCCATGTATGTCATGTATTACAAAGAGGCACTTTCTACACATTTTTGATTGAAGAAATTACTAAAACATTAGATTGATAATTAATATCTTTTTTAAATAAATATTCTGCAAAATAATGTATTGATTCACAGACTAATGGTGCAGCGTTATGATCACAGAACAATAATTGGATGATCTGGATGTAATAAGATTTTCCTTATTATAGCATCTGCACACAATTAGACCCTTATAGGGATATAACATTGATTTGTGTCTGATGTGGCCTCTTCAGGCTTCTGTAAACTAACTGATGATCACCACAGGGCCACTCTCGGCCCCTGAGGGCATATTACAGGGACCCTGGTTGCAGCTGCATTAGGCTGCAATAACTCTTCTGTGCAGATGTCAAATGTAGGCACCTAAACAACCGGCAGTGATTGTCTAATGTCTTCGGATTCTATGATTACCCAGCACAGTATGGCGTGTCTTTACGTGGTGATAACAAGACATTTAGGGTAAATGAAAGGAAATTTAGTTAGTGGAGGTAACAAACCATTTTCATACAGTTTCTGAATGTGTGTTGTGTGCAGCAGTCACATTTGAATCGAACTTAAAAGCATATTTACACACATCATGTAATCAGCTTTATGCAGCACTTCATATCACACAGCCCAAACCAAAAGAAGCCAATATCAATAAGAATTTGCATATTAATGACTTTCATGAAAACATAAGCCATAGAGAGAGAGGAAGAGGAAAAGAGAAGAGAATGACTACTAAACTTTTCATAAATACATTTAAAGGGATCATGCCGGTATGCCATTACATTTGCCATGAGCAGATAAGATTTAACATCTAATACAATATCCATGGATTCATATTCTGTCTTATGTCTTTCTTACACTTTCAAAAACGACTTCCCTGTCCTGGACACCAACAAACAAAAATACAAAATGTACATAACAAACACAGTACAACGTGTATAGATTTAGTTTTTTGTCTAGCTCCACAAAGCAAATAGTAACAATAAAATACAATACCATAAAAAATAGAAAAGGTTCCCAAAAAGAAACAGTAAAGGAATATTCCAGCATGTTTAAGAAAGAGTAAACAGAGAACCAGCATAAACTGCATCATTTATATATTATGCAATGGCAGGTGATTTAAATGGTGAATGATGTACACGTTATGGATCACCATGGTAGAAAGAGAACAAGCAGAACCTGGCTTGCTGTTCAAATACAAATAAGACAAGTTGCCTGTTGAAAGAGGAAACGTTTTTTTCCTCTTTCTTTTAATCTAAATTCGTTAATTCCCTCATCTAACACACACATATATACACACACACACACACACACACACACACACACGCACACACACACACACACAAACCATAGCTTCTAGAACACCTCCAAAAGTTTCAGAACAAAATGTCGTTTGGACCACAAGGAGGGAGAAAAAGGAAATAAACTCGTATAGGCTGCATCATTCGACACACAAGCTCCTTAAAGCTTTGATGGAATAGCTAGAGTTAAGATTAACACAGCAAACATTAACAAAAATAGTTTTTACCTAAGCGTCCAGACCTCCTCGTGCGCCCCTGGCACCCCCACACCGCGCGCTGCTCATCTCCCGGCCCGGCCCATCACCGCAGGTACTGTCCGGAGAGCACAGCACATCACCGTGTCCGAAAGTGGATATTTAAAAAAATAACTCTGACGTTCAAAATAAAGAAAATAGAAAGAAAAACTGGACTTTTGAGTTCTCAACTTTCTGTCCAGGCTGCCTTCTCTCAGTACATTCATATAAACCACTTTCCTAATAGAAATCTCGCTTCTGTTTCAGTGGACTGAAGTGTGTCCGACTGAGCGAGGCTGAACGGTTCGCTGATGGGGCTCTGCGCTCCAGATTTTCGTCAAACTAGTCAGGATATCCAGGGTACTTCCGGTGAAGAGTTTCAAAATAAAACAAAAAAATATGTATTTCAAGGTTCATGGATGAGTAACCATAAGCACACAAATGACAATGTTTGTAAGCCATCTTTGTCATTTAAGGTCTTACATTTTAAAACTCCTATAGCAAAAGAGTACCATATTGTGTACATTTGTTTTTTTAAAGCAGCAGATAAAGGCCTGCAAACATTTGGAACATTTATTGGATAGTAAATCCAAAAATGTAGTCATCCTAACCTACGAGAATATTTAATCAGCGTAAAATGCATGAAATATAACCTGGCCTATAAGAAAACCTAGATAAAACGTTTTTATTGATACTACAATATTTACTGTCATAATTGTCAGAGTACGAGTTTGACTTATTTTTAATGAAGCGTTGCACATCTGCTCTTATGAATTTAAGGAACTGCTTGTGCTTTAATGTAATTTATTGTGAGTCTGTCATGGGCGTACATTTGTAGGTATTTGATAATCTCCTTATAAGTCAAAGTTCAAGGTTCAAGGTCCTTTATTGTCAAACTAACATAGCTACAATAAAGAACCTTGAACCTTGAACATTGTCTTATACGGAGATTATCAAATACCTACAAATGTATATCATTATGTGATGACACACAATAAGGGTTTTCTTTCATCTGTAACATCTACACAATGTGCCTGGACATAATACATGCTGGTTTAAAGTTAAGGTGTGTTTGTTTCATTGAATTGATCACCATAATTGAGGCATTGTTATTGTTACAGTGAATGTTTTAATGAATGAGTGCAACAGTTAGGAATATAAAACAGCTACAGTAGTATGAAGTTGGCTTGGAGGAAGAGGTGGATGGTTAATTTGTTCCAAGGCTGCATTAATTCACTCTTACGGTTGTCAGGTTTTCTTTCCTTTCTGTAAAAGTCACACAATGAAGGTGGATCTAAAGTTAGAACAATTGCATCTCATCTGTTATATATGAATGAAAGTCATTGTTCGCTCATTGATAGATTTTAAAGAACAATACATCGAACTGCATGTAATGATCATGTTTATTAGTGCCATTGTACTTTTGTGCCTTTATTTTTGAAATACCATTCAATACACTTCCGGTAAGTGTTTTCCTGAATGTCGGCAGCTTTATCCAGGTCGGTTCCTGGCTGGTCTTTCTAATTGAATGATCCTTAAGTCATTGAATATATTTTATTTTCTGACAGAAGGACTTTAGGTAGTGATTGTAGTGGAGGCTTTTATTTAAGATATGCTAGATATAAATAGTGTCTCCCCATAGTGTCTGCACTGGGAAAAAGATGCAACGGTAGGATACATTGCAGGGGGGTGTTGAAAGGTTACACTCAAAGGTGTGGGCAGCATTCAACAGGAAGAGACTTCTGAAGCATGAAAGCAAAGTGAAAGCTGCTTCAGAATTCTGATCAGTCTGCCCCTCTGTCCCTACCCCCCTTCCCCCGGGCCCATTTATTTCTGAGGATGTTTCCCGACCTACCATTTTCCACCTGTACACCACTTGATCTGCTCTGTGTCCTTCTGCATTTGGGTCCTCAGTCCTATCGAAATGACACCATGAGACACATGCTGATGAAGCAATGAGACTTGTGAGAGAAACGATAGTGGAGACTCTGATTGTTATCTCCTCTCTGACTCCAGTCCCATGACTTCCAGCCTTTAAGACTTGTTGCATCATATCATAGGATGCTCAGCCACAAGAAAAGGGAAAATGAGGTAACGTGAAGTTCCCTGGTGCCAAGTTTACAGTGAAATCAGTCATACAGAACCTGCCATTTTTGTAAACAAAATATTAAAACAAATGAATTCACATTATAGCTACCAATGTACTTGCAAATTACATCTCAGCTGACTTTGTTAGCGTTTTGTTTAGTGTTATTTCCATTTCCATTTTTAGTCATACATGATTTACACTCGTGGACTTAAAGACAGGAATTACATTTTAAAAATGTTTAAAAGGGTATTTGAGTGACATAACTCATTTCCATATGTCTTGGCTTTAGTCAGTTGTACTTTTGATGAAGGAGTTGAGTTCTAAAGTGTCCCTGTCGGACAATCATTTACATGTGTATGCTACTCTACAATAATAACAAGACAATGTGGTTCATCATTTTCCAGAGAGACTTCATTCAGGGTCAGTGCCCATTCATTAGCAGCATAATCTCGCTTATTTCACGAAGCAAAGGTTATGAAGAGTGAACCCAATTGCAAAACAAAATTATAAAGTCAAATGTAGGCTTCAAGCAGCTGCAGTGCCTTTTACAGTAGGCTATATGTGACAATTGGGACTGGGCAAACAAATTAACATTATGTAATTCCTTGGAAATTACATATTGCAAATTTGCACCCCTTCTTGTGTGACAGGCACGTGCACACATCAAAGTGGGCTTGAGCCCCTGCCCTTTTTCTTCCTCCAGAGAAAGTGCCCTTTTCCCCCCTTTTTAATTGTTTTAATAAATGAAGATATATATACTGCTGTTTGCGCACAGTTTCCCTTTCCAAAAATATATTGATTGAATACAAAATAAAAATATAAGGTCAGGAGATTAGACTGTGAAGTTCCGATGCTCTCTCTACCCCTACATTATATTTGTGTTTCTTGTACTGATTTTATCTTCATTTGTTTATTGGATCGAGTCTTTTTTATTGACCCATTGGATCAAGACTTTTGATTGGTCCATAGGAATTAACTAATTTGATTTGCCCATTGGAATCCCGTCATTTGATTGGCCTACTCGATCCACATTATAATAGGCCCATTTGATTGAGCCATTTGATTAATCCATTTGCACTTAGCAGGTTAACCTCATCAACATTATATGGGTTCAGCTCAATGTCAATGTAAGAACTGGCAGACTGTGAAGCTTTTGCACTTTAGTGGAATGCTGTTCACGTGACCAAGCATTGTTTATCATGAATGAGAAACATGTCTTTTTTTATGTTTTAGGAATGTTTATAAGCACAAATCTTGTAAGTAAATGTACAAATGTGCAAACATACACAAACACAGTGGTGTAGTGGGCATTGGACTTATTTGGAGCATGATCTTTTTTTTAATAGTCTAATAAATATAAAATCATTGCCAGTCTTATCAGTTGTAAGTGTGTATTTGTTGTAATAATGACAAAAACATAATACATTTCACCGTAATTATAATAAAAAATAAAAACGATTTTCCTTAAAAAATGATGATTCGTCACATCACGCTCGTGACCCCGCAGCGAGCTGGCCGTGGGTGTGTCAGTGACACAATCACGGCCAGCGAGCCACCCGCAGGTTTTGCGGCAGCTCTTTCCCTCAAGAACGCTAAGGAAAAAGCTTTATAATGGCAGTCAAATATTTTTTACTTAACTTCTTTTCTAAAAAGAATATAATTCACAAGAAGAAAGAGGCTAGCAGCACCGAAGCTACAAGTGAAGCTGCTACTAGTACTACATCACCAGAAGAGCCGCCTAAAGACGTGGATAATGCTAGCACTAACGTTAACGTTAGCTGCGCTAGCAACGTTCCCCTGGCTAGCTCAAGCTCACCTTTCCCAGAGGTATGGACGGAGGAGATGTGGCGGAGGATACAAGAGGCATAGGCCTACCCGTGGATAGACTGCAAAGCTGGGAAACTGGGCTTTAAAGTTTGTTCATCCATTTCGGATGTATCAGTCTTCAAAACGCAAGGTGTGTGTGTGTGTGTGTGTGTGTGTGTGTGTGTGTGTGTGTGTGTGTGTGTGTGTGTGTATGTGTGTGTGTGTGTGTGTGTGTGTGTGTGTGTGTGTGTGTGTGTGTGTGTGTGTGTGTGTGTGTGTGTGTGTGTGTGTGTGTGTGTGTGTGTGTGTGTGTGTGTGTGTGTGTGTGTGTGTGTGTGTGTGTGTGTGTGTGTGTTTGTGAAGCAGCGCTGTCTGCTTATTTGCAATATAGGCTAGGCCTAATCAGAATAATTTCAAGTCCAGATTCAATGTTGTTTGCATAAGTAGGCTATATTTTTGGTTTCGTTTATTTAATAAGTTAATTTCAGGACAACTTTGGGATTTTGTTTGTTTGTTATGAATTTTAAATAGATTTTGAAAGTGGAGATAGAGAGAGAAGCAGCGCTGTCTTCTTAGTGGCAATACTGTAGCTTATGCAATTTAGACCTATAAATTGTTTATGTAACTTATGTGACTGTGTGTCCATGGTTTTGAGTCTGTGTGTGTGTTGAGCGCAGCGACGTCTGCTTTTTGCAGTAGGTAACTAAAGTAGGACTAAACATACCGGTAGTTTCTGTGGACCTGTCTGCCCGTTTTGTGAGTGCACTGCGCGTGTGCGCACTTGTTTGGGATGACCTGATTAAAATAGCGTCCCCCCAGTAAAAAAATCCCCACTACACCACTGCACAAACATGTATACTTTTGGAGTCCATTTATATGTTTCATTCTGTGTAATGCATCTACTCAGTGTGATTGATACACTGTGATTCAAGCTGTGCAATCAGGAACCATCACAGTTCCAGAGAGAGTTCAAAGCTGGAAGAAACAAACTGAAAATGTCTTCACATTTTTCTGTCAACTGATAATAGTTTATTGAATTAGCAAATAACAAATTCATTTAGGCCTCTCTCTTTCCAATGCACACACACACAACCACACACACACATACACAAACACATACATGAACCCCAAATCACCACACACACAGTTTAAATATAAAAAATAATTTACTTATGATTGACTTCACGAGTCTCGATGAGGAGACAAACAAAAGGACCATTGAAATCTGAGCTGAATTCCATGGAGAAAGGCAACTTTTTTTCCGTCTGAAAATCATATCAAGTTTTTCTTATTCCCTGAAGTCATCACTGCAAAGCTATCTGAGTCATTCGATGCTCCTGCTGCAAATAAACTGACAGCTCTGATCTGAGGTTCATAAAGATAT